TCTGAGACTGTCCTACATACATAATAAAAAAAATCTACTCATAATAAATATATAATAAAAATTTGCATTGAATATATATACGAAAAACTAAACATTTTAAAGTCAGAAAACCAAGCAGATCCAGCAGAGTAAGATTTAAATCTCACTGCTTTAGGAATCGACCACACACTTTGATCTGCCTTGTTGCTTAAAATGGGCTTTAGAAATAAAATTAACTTCTCTAATATACCTAATGTGGTTCATACACTACCGTAACATCTGCAGGCCCGTCTTTAAAAGATCTAAAAAGAAATATTTATAAATGCAGTTTTAAACATGATGCAAATGAATTATTGACGTGGTATTTGCTTCTCTTAGTAATTAAGAATGGCATCCAAAAACTACAAACACACAAACTACATTAAATAACATTTTTAAAGCAAAGAATCAGCAACTTTTATAACATCACAAAAAAGTAGAATTTATTTATAGTTATGGTTTCACATTATGTTTTTATTACAGTATTACTGTGGCACCAACCCCAGCACTTAAAATGACAAAAACGTTCTAGCAGCAACTAAAATACACATTGTATTAAATTAATGATGAAGATGATTTTTTTTGTTGTTGTTTTTTCCCAGGGATTAGATTTTTAGTTTTGCATAAAGTATCCAGCATCCAGTCTTTTGTTTTTAGCATCTGAAGACACGTTTGTTCAGAATGACTTTTAATTAGTTTTATGTGAGATGTATGCTGTGTCGCGTCTCGTTCTGAATTTTTCTGTCTTGTATTTTATAGTGTCTGAACTGTAAAAGGGGCTTTAAAAAAATAAATAAATAAATTATAATAATAATAATAATAAATAAAATGCATTTGCTTTTTAAAAGGTTTAAGTTAAGTAAAATCTGAGCAACTAAAAATTCATAAAGCGATTCTGTCTTATATGTGATATGTCTTTTTAATAAATACTATCACTGAAATCTTTCTATGAATTTGTTCTGTCGTTATTTTTGCACATGTTCATCTTTACTGACTGACTGTATCTGTTCCCTCATGTCTTTGCTAGATCAGGTTAAAAGTGAAGCTGCATTTCACTATCAGCTTGTTTTATTCTGGGGAGTAAAGAAAACATTCAGATTTGTTTGTCTTTGTTTTATAGGTGATATTTCAACAGTGGCAAATTTTCCTGCAACGACGCGTACTTCTAAATGTCACGCTGTTTAGTTCAGAATGCCCTTTTGTGCAGTGTTAAGTCAGATTTTTCAACATAAAGGATGGAAATGAACATGAAGGTAGATACATAAAAGCCTCATAAGTATCTATGTGACACTTAATTTTAATAAGCACAGTGCAGAGTGAGTGCCTTCATGCTTCCTGAGAATGCATGTGAGGAAGAAGCGAGTGTAAGATCTGCGTTTCCTGCCGAGATAGAAGATCTGGTTTGTGGCTTGGTTTCTGCTAAACTAGCTCCCCGTCACAAACCGGTGGTTATGCATCAGCTCTGATCGCCGCGCTGATAAATGGAAACCATGTGGTCAAGTCGACTCTGAGAGGATCAGACACCCAGAAAACTCGTCTGTAATAGTCAGTGGTAGAGACTTTAAGGCGTTTCACACCCACTGCTGAAATAAGTTATTTTAATGTGTGGTGGAGGGGGAGGGGGCATTTTTGACTCTCATAGATGTTATAATTTGTACAATATGGGCATGCGTTCACATATTTGAACTTTTTATCATGTCAATCAAGAATATTTTACTTTTTGTGCAGCAACAGAAAACTAATTTTCTACATGTGTTCAGGAGGTCAGATCAGACTTTGAGTTTATTCTTAATTTACAGTTTAACAACAATAATAATAATAATAATAATAATAATAATAACAACAACAACAACAACAACAACAACAATAATAATAATAATAATAATAATAATAATAATTATTATTATTATTATTATTATTATGTATCTGTTTGCATTAAAAACAATCAGATATGCTAGAAGGAAATAATGAAAAACATTTAAGCATGCCATAAAATTTTAACAAATAGTTTGTTATTCTGCAATATATAACATGAATTTGAAAGGTGTATTGAAAAGAATATCAAAATATTACTGTGTTTAGAGTATTTTTTAAAAAGATATACAGCGAAAGATCTAAATTTACATTAAATATCAAACATGTGGAAATAAAAAACAACAAAAAGGGGAAATGCAGTAAAAATGAATCTGATTTTGAGAAAAATCCAATTTGTACAGATTTAGAAATACAAGGGATGCAAATTTAGGCATTTTTTTTCTTGAATATACAACTAAGAAGTTAAATATGAGACCATCATTTAAGGTTTAAATTATATCTCACAGTGTGTGTGTTTTGCAGCAATAAATTCCAAAGAGTTTAACGGTTCAAATCACATTTTCTCTTTTTCACCATTTCTTAACTTTGTTGAAGTACTGGTAATCTGTGTTTGAGTGTAAATTCTTATTTAAAAATAAATCCAACTTGGAATTCAAACTTCCATGTCAGATTGGAGTTGATCTAATCTGGGTTAAATATGATATTTCAGAAATCCACTCTACATGTATTTAGCATTCTTGAAGAATATTTATGGTATTTGAAATGTTCGATCAGAATCCACTGCAACTTTACCAAATCAACTTCAGTATATTTGATTTACATTTGCTTGAAGGTATTTGACAGATATAATGTTTATGCCAGTTTCCTAATTGGTGACTGTCTGATATTTTGTGGTGTAAAGCACTTTGAACTGTTTTGTTGCTAAAACAACAGATTATAAGACTTCATATGTGAAATGCGTTGAGCCAACAATTCTTTTCTTTTGACTTTGACATTTATGGGCTGCTTTGTTTTTGTTTATCATTGACAAAACCAGTAGAATGCATGGATATGTGTGGCTGTAAAGTCAAGAAAACATGATATTTGGTTGCTATATTTAGGATCTGAACTGTTGGGTGTTTATGATTGAATGATTTTTGTTTCACTTGAAGTTTTCTAACTTCAACTCTAAATGGAAAGTTTCTGTATCTGTGTAGGAAAAATCAAATATTACAATATTTGACTATTTAGATCATGCTAAGAATTGATCAACCTTCTTTAACCTTGTGCTGCAGAACTTCAAGATGAAATCAATTATCCATCATCTTGCATGAATGCAGTAAATACACAGAAAGCAAACAAAATGGATTTTGGATTCGCGTTCGACTTCTTCCTGATCTGACATGAACGTCTTTATCTTGACTAAGTCACACACTTTAAAATCTTTATAACATCTTATTTTTTTTCTCTCGTTTCCTGATGCCTTCTGATAACACGAAGCAGGATGCTGATCATTTTTTAACCCCTCACAAATATTCTATCCTCTATCAGAATATTAATAGTTTGACATTTCTCTGATGTAACGTGACATTTGACTCCCTCGATGGCTGCCGCTTCCACCGCTCTGCTGAAACGTCTTCAGGCTTTAAAACGGGACGCCTGTCTAGTGTCAGGAATACCACAGAAAACGACAAAATAAATACAAACCAATAGACCTGATCTAATGATATTTATTGTTGTTGTCATTTTATTAACAAAGAAAATGTTTAAATAATAAAAAGAAAATTACCTAATTTATTTAAATACAATCACAATAAAATATTAAGTTGGTGTGTTAATAAATTAATATTATTATTATTATTTTCAATACTTTTTATTCACCTATTAGTGTGAATAAAAAGTCAGTTTCTACCAATAAACATTATCAAAATCAAGTAAGGGTATTGATCTACAAAATAATTGACCTGATAACAGAACCAGGAAAATCAATAAAAACACAAGCAGAAAAAAAATTAATTAAAATGAATATATTGAAAAACACACAGAACATAATGAATTGGTGTCACAATGAAAATAATATTTTTTAAAAAATATAATTGACTAAAATTGTCAATTAATTGATTAAAAATTATCATTTAAAAATGATAAAAAATGTAAAAAATTGATTAATGAGAAATAATCAAAATGTTATTCCAAAACGCATTTTGGAATAACATTTTGATTACATCTTAATTTGTCAGGTTAAATGAAATGTTTAACACATGTATTATGTTGCATTTTGATTGTGGTGAAACAAATAAGAATAATTAAATAATCTTAATTTTAATATTATGTCGGTTTTTAGGTTTAGTGCTTAAACCTAAAAATTCAAAATTATGAATTTTTAGGTTTAAGCTAGATACCCAATCAAAAGGATTTTTATTCCATCGTTCATAAGTTTATAATTATCATCTCTTTCATATCATATCTGTCAATATCTTAATTTAATCACACATTAAATCTTAATTTAATCACATATTAAAATTGTCTAAAACTTTTATCTAGACAAAAACAGAAGGATTTTTTTTATCTATTCTCTCTTCTTTTGAATACAAGATGAAAACTGCTTTTGTTTTAGAAGAAAAATTACCAATAATCCATAATTTGAGTATAAGCCACAAATTAGTAATTAGTAATAAAATAAATCTATATTGTTAATTCTTACACAAATAGTAAAAATGTTGTTAGCTGCAGAACAAAATATATATATATATATATATATACTAGGTAAATAAATTACAGCTCTGTATCTTTCCATTGATGTGACGTCTGTTTGTATTATTTTCATAAATGTTAATTAATGATATGTGTCCATGTGATGAATTTGTTAAACCCTTATAAGGTTTATGAGGCCTGGATTTTTCCACATTCTTGTCTCGAGTCATTTATCATCACAGTTATAATTGAAGTTATGACTGACATTTAGAATTTGTATACATTACATGACATTTGAGTTATGTTAAATTTGCCTGCACATTTTTGTGTAAAAACAACAACTAAAAAGGTTTGTACGTTTTTCTTCCAGGCTGCATCTCAGTGTTAAAAGAAGGTCCGTCTGCAGCTCTCAGGCATGTTGGCGGGCGTTTCCTCCTCCATATAAAGTGGAGCAGATCATCATCAGACCTCAGTCGCTTCGCTCTGTGGCGACGATGTGGTTCCTCCTTCTGCTCCTCCACACCTTCGCTCACATCGGGCCGGTGAGCTCAGCAGGCAAGTTACGCTTTTATCTTTACTTTTCATTTGTGACAGACGCTCCACTTGATCCTGAATTTCAAAGAGAATATTTATTTATTTTCACATTACACTGCAAAATCTCCAAAGGTGATTTTTTTTTGTCTGGTTCGAGAGGAGATATTATGAAATACGATAAAACTGACTTACAAGTAACTTTCCACCAAGCTGCTGGATAGGTTGCTTTAAGTCAATAATTCTTTAATATTTATAAAAAGTACAAGTTCCTTTGGTGGTTTATTTTACGTCTAACATTTTAAAAATGTTAGACGTAAAATAATCTGCCATTGGGGCTAATACTTTTTTATTAAGATCTTTGCACTGGAAACTAGACCAAAAATAGTCAAGGTTGTTTAATCTTTTTACCAGCAGAAATATTCTCTGTAAGAGTCATTTTAGAAAAAGAAAAACCTCTAATATTGGAATTTGCCAAAAATATATATGTCACGTAAAACAGAAAGGTGGTTTATGATGGTATTTTCTTAAGATGCTTTACTACACTAAAGTTTGTTTCATCTTGAAAAGCGGCTGGAAACAGCTTGGCTTTATAGTGTTTATCAAATATAATGTTTTAACCACATTATTAAACAGATAATGTTTTTGCTTAATCATATTACAATTAACAACAAAAGTTCTAATGTTTGCATGACAAATTATATGTTAGATTTTATTTATTTATTTATTTTATTTTTTTTTTTTTAAATATATTTTTAAAGTCATAATATACAGTATTATTAATACAGCATTAGGCAACAAGTCATTTTTGTCTATTTGAACAGAAACTTATACAGATGTGTAATTCTTTTTTTCATATTTTTTCCAACAATATGAGCTAAATGTTAAATATTTTAGGTTTATTTACTTATTTTTATTATTATTATCTCAGTTGATATTAAAACATGTTCATTCACAGGCAAACGTTTAGATTCACTCTAAACATCAGTGTGAATGTCTCATTCCTACCGATGGCCCCCATCATTAATATGAGGCATCAAATATGAATATTTAGTTCGATTTTAGTTATTCTGTCAAGAAGCGAGCTCAAATATTCAGCCAGAATTATATATGAAAAATATCATTGGCTACAAAAAGTTGGTTCTAAGGGATATTTGAGAAGAAGTGTCGTCGGGGTGCCATGGTTACGCACAACTCGCATAAAGAGACCTCGGTCCTCGACACGGCCGCATGTCTTCCCCTCTCTCATAACCCACTTTCCTGTTTAACTATTCTCAAACAAAGGCCTCATCTTATAAAATTAAAATTCTAAAATTCTTATCTGAGCTCGATATACACGTGTGTATAATTTTTGACTGTGCATATTACAGATGGTACAAAATAAATTCAAACTTGTGTACAGGGTGCCTTTTTTATTGATTACAACAATTTCTTGTATGTTAATTTCACAGAAAAAAAAAATAAAAAAGCTTTACATTAAGCCTAAACCGATTGAACTTATTTCCCATAATGAAAATGTGGAAACATTTGATGCATTATACTTTGAATATGAGAGTTTATTGCTTCAAAATGCTATTATTTATTGCAGATATTTTAATTTAAAATAAGCAATGAAATATCTAGTAATGAAACCTAAAACTTGCCAGCATAATAGACACAGTTTATTAACTTCTTACTTTTTTTATTTCATGTTTTTATTATTTGTTTTTTTGCGTGTCACTGAAAAATAGTCAAGTTCTAAAGTTTCAGTGAACACAAATAAATTATTGTCCATAAAAAATAGTGTTGAAGGAAATAAGTGGTATTTAATTAGTGTAGGGCTTTTGAAGTGTGGAATTTTTATGGACGATTTAAAAAAAAACAACACACAAATTAAATGAGAAAAATATTTTAATTCTCATATATTTATAATAAACGAGTTTTGTGTATAAATTTCTCCGCTCTTTGCTAATCCATACATCCATGTATCTACCTTCTTTACGAATAATTTTCAATATTCAAATGACATTTTTTGCTTCAAACAAAATATTTTGTTAGGAAGATAAATTATCACCTCAAGACTAAATATTTAGTTAGCAAACTAAATATTTCACTTCAAACTACACATTTAGTTAGCTTTAAGCTGAATATTTAGTGAGTAAATTAATTTTTAAACTCCAATCTAAGTATTTAGCTCAGCATTAACTATTTAGCTAATTAGCCAATTCAGTTGCCAATAAGAAGAAGTGTGCTGTCACAATAAAAGCTGGATGTTGTGAACTTCTCCTGCTGCAGTGCTGAAGTCAAGTGACTTCAGCATCATGTCTACATGTTAGTAAATGTCTGAACTGCCAGTGAAATGTCGTTAGTTTTAAACTAGTAGAGAGGAGAAGAAGTGATTACAAAGACATGATGTGAAGCAATTCAGTCTCACTAAAAAACAGCTTTTATTTTGGTAGTCCATTCCCAATAATTTGTACATTACCTTAATATTTAGCTCTGAATTAAAACTTTTGCTAGAAGCTAAATATTTAGCTAAATATTTAGACTGTTTATTTGTTAATTTTTGACTGAAAGTTTGTCATTGGCAGCCCTCATGCATGTTCTCCTCACATGCATGAGGAGAACATGGAAACCCCATCACAAAAACCCCTTGATGTGCTTGAACATGGTTACTACTCTGACTTGACTGGTGCAAAACAAAGATTGCTTTTAAACAGGATGCTGAGGTGTGATTCTGCCTCTCAGAAAAAAAAAATGCTTTTCTGCTTCATTAACCTCTCATTCTCAAACCAGATCCAAAACAAGGAAAGATCATCCTACGGAGCGAAAACAACAACCCCTGTGAAGGACGCGTGGAGGTTTATTATGGGAACGAAATGGGATATGTTGGAGATAAAAATTGGAACAGCAATACTGAGAAAGTGGTGTGCAGAACCACTCACTGTGGCCAACCAGTGAGAACATCAAACGTGTACAGGTCCCTCCACAGCCCAGTCTGGCTGAATGAACTGGAATGCAAAGGGGACGAAAGAAGTCTGTGGGACTGTGACGGTTGGCCCGGTCCAAACGTCAGCTTTTACAGAAAGCCCACTGTGAAAAAAATCACATGTTCATGTAAGTCTTTGATAATTCACATTACACATACTCATGAACAACATGACCAAATCTGTTTCAAAAGGCTGAAAGTGTTTTTAACCTTTTTTTTTTTTAGCTAAGATCAGCTTCCGCTTGGAACAACATGAGTGTGAAGGAGCGGTCAAGTACGTGATTCAGTCACCTGACTCAGTCCCTGGAAGGGAAGAAACTGGTTACATCTGCAGTGATGGGTTTGGTAAGAGCTCACCTCACAGATCCAAATTGGCATGTTCTGGCTGGGAGGGTCCAGGTCTTATCTGCTGTGGAGGGAGTTAATGTCATACTGTATTCTCATTTATTTCTATTGCGATTCACATTATTGAATCGCAATATCGTCACATATTATCACCTTTCTAAAATAATGGTGACGATATGTGTCCATTATGTTTCTTTCTGGGTGGGCTGTTTTTTTTTTTGTAGATATTATTTCTTGACATCATATAAGCCATACTCTCAGCAAATCGTTATCCCAAATAGTTATTAAACTAACTGACTCACCATTCAAGACCAAACCTCATCACTGCCTGAAACAAAATACATACTTTTATGTTAACAAGTAGAAATGTTTCTCTGATCAGAAGCAACAAGCAATATCATGAAAAGTTACAGTGAAATTATTTCATTATGTACATATCAGAGACTGCATTGTGATTCCAAACACTTCTTAATAATTTTTACATTTGGAGAAAAAAAGTGAAATGATCAGTTTAACTACCGAACATTTTCCTGCAACATTTTTGCCGTGGAGTTTTTGACAGATGTGATTTTGTGTCTTGAATATTTTGTTTGCACTCTTCTTCTGCTCTGGCTCTTGAAATGATGCTCTATGCTCACTCAGAAATGAATAACGTTTGAACTTTTAATCCATCTTTCTGTAACTATTTTTATGAATGCAGAAGAAGATGATGCCATCCGTTTGTGTAACAGCATTTCTGACTGTAAGGGGTCCGGAAAAAGGGTGACATCTCAGTGGATGAGGACTGCAGAATTCATGACTTCGCAGAAGAGGGCAAAGATAAAATGTGCAGGCATTCAGAACGTAAAACATCTGTGGCAATGTGTAGAATCACTGTCCTCAAAATGCAATTTGCCTGCAGCAGTCAGTTGTAAAGGTAAACATTGTGCGATGCTGACATCATCTGTGCAACTGTTGTGAGACTGAAGTGGCTGTAAATCCTGTGACTGGTTTTCAGGCCACAAAAGATTACAGCTGAGAGGAAAGAAGTCCAACGTTTGCTCTGGGCGACTGGAAATGGAGGAGAATGACAAGTGGAAACCCATAAAGAACAATAAAACGATTCCTGACTTGTGTAAGAAACTGCACTGCGGTGTCCCTCAACCCTCTGAACAGAACGCCACAAACAATCATGTGAATTGCTCAGGTAATCCAGTCCATATTTCACAAAATACATTTATTTATGATTTTGTGATCAGTCTCTTCATTTCTTTACTTGTTGAAAATATTAAATCATAAGAGCTGCTTTTTGCACTTATTTCTTTGTTTTTTCCTCTTTAAATGTATTTTTCCTTCTGAACACAGACCAGGTGAAAGTTGTTCTGACAGATGACAGTGACAGAGAAAGCAAGTGTTACGGTCACATCAAAATACAAAAGAAAAATGATAAATATCATGTTTGTGGTGATGACTGGACTGAGAAAGAATATGAAATGGTCTGCAAAGAACTGGAATGTGGGAAGGTGAGTCTTCAGGGTTAACTTGCTGGTCTCTGTCATCATTAGGTTTGATATAGTGAAGCCCAAACTTATTCATAACCCTGGTAGATTAAAGCTGACTGTGATATTTGGTTGTGTTCAGCACATTTCTTTCAACTGAAACCAATATTATCGCTTTAGAGCGACTCAGTTTTGTTGTCATTGAATAAGACTTTGGTAAGTATCAGCAGAGTTAACATGTTCTTTGAGACATTACATGTCATTAAATCAACATCTTTGTCTGTTCTGTTCATTAAAAGCACATTTCTTTCAGGTGATTAGAAAGGACATGAAAAACATGAACATAAACGGGATATTGAACCATGTAAAATGCACAGGCAGTGAGTCATCCCTGTGGTACTGCAGAGCTGAACATCGCCACCAACAGTGCAAATCTGCTCCCTATGTTGTCTGTGATGGTGGGACTTTGAAACAACATCACAATATCTCTGGCTGTCTAAAGATGGTTTTCAGTGCTTTAACCTTCTGTTTTTCTCGTGGTACAGGTAGTCTAGAAGTCAGACTGCAGGACGGCCCCGGAAAGTGTGCTGGTCGATTGGAAGTTAAGGATGAAGGCCAGTGGAAAACCGTCAGTAAGACAGGCTGGGATGATAGTTATACACAACGCGCCTGCAGGCTGTTGGACTGCGGGAATGAAGGAAAAGACAAATCTGATTCTGATGAATTCAGCCAAGGCACTTTTGATGATATGCTAACTTTCAGTTGCAAACAGGAAGATAAAAACTTGACTGACTGTAAAACCACTAGAACCAACAATCAAAATAAGAAAGAGAAAGCAGTGAAACTGATTTGCAATGGTGAGTTTTATTTTTGTTTTGGGGTGGCGGGGGGGTTTGTTTGCTATTTTTACACTTTAACACAATTACTACCAGAAACACGCCCAGATATTTCTGGTAGTGATAGTAGAATGTGGAATATCCACAGAAGCCCAGCAGAAAGCTAAAGACACAACCACACAAATGTGTGTGAGAATAACTAAGGGACCATTTGAGCCCCAGTTTAATTTCACTTACGGGGCCCAATTCAAATTCTTCTCCAGCACCACAGCTGATATTTTTGATTCTTGATCATTTTTTTACTTTTACAATGACATCAATTATGATGTAGTTACTTAATTCATCCAATTTACCAGAGAAAATAGGCCAATATCTCTTTAAAACTGCAGTATGTAACTTAAATATGTTTTTTACATAATTGTACAGATGATCAGTATGTCGTAACAGTGTAACAGGAGACAGATCATCCTCTGCCTTCTCCCAGTACTAATCAGAGAAATACACCAGAAACCAAGAGGAGGGTCTTAGTGCTGTCAATGTCATGCAGGTTACTAACAGACTCCCTCTAAAACAGACTCTGCTGTGAAACTGAAAGGTGCAACAACGAAGTATTAGTTTCAGTGAGAAAAATATTTTTATTACTGTTATTATTAGAATATTTGTGTGACAAAGGTTGAACTTCATTAAGTGCACTGCTACCAAGATATAATGTACAGGTGTTTCTTTGTGACATATTAGGATTGCAATTATAAGAGCAGTATTTTATTAAACTGAGCTTCATGTCATGCCATAAATATATTTCCTCATCAAAAAAATAACTGGAGTGTAGCTTTGATTCCTTCATGCATGTCAGTCTCTCATGGCAACCATCCAGCTGGGCAAAATGTCTAGATGAACCTTTGAGATGCAGCTCAGATGCCTCACAGAGCAGCCCTCCCCTGCAGCTTCCCCACTCAGCTCCTTCAGACTAGCCGGCAGCAATTAGCAAATACCAGGCGGAAATGCATCTGCTAAGCTCAGTGTCTGATAAAAACGTTACTAAAGGTGTTGTGACGACTTCATGAAGGCAGAGTTTCAGAAAGAGCCCAAGATTTTAAAGAGACAGAGGCCCAATTTCAAGGTGTTAAGTCAGGAAGTAGAATTTTGTTGGGTATTTTTGATAAATGAAATTTTTTTTATAAAAAATAGAGAATAATGCCCATTTGAGAAAACTACAATTTAATTCATTGATATGATGAGAAATGTGTTTTTATTTGAGAAAACTAATCAAATGATTAGCTTTAACAAAGGCAATTTCAGTTAAATATTTCCCAGGTTTGATCTGAATAAAGCTGCAGCACCTCCTTCATGGCTCTTGTCTTTGCTTTGCACAGAAAACAAGCTGCTATTTCTGGACGGACCCAAGTCATGTTCAGGCGATGTGGCGATCGAGTACAAAGAAAAACTCCATTGGCTCTCGGGGTCAAACGAAACATGGAATAAAGAGTTAGCCAACAAAGTGTGCCAGCAGATGCACTGTGGGAACGCGTCAAGCTTCAATCAGAGCGTTAAAGACAAAAATCCCATATGGACCGAGTCATTTAGCTGCTCATCTGATCACAAGTCAATCTTTGACTGCAACAAAAATCAAATTAACTCAAATGATTCAACTATTGCTCATGTGGAATGTGAAGGTAATGAACACAATCCAAATCCTATGTATTTAAGTATACACTGCATTTGTTTTTTGGTGAAACTTTAAAAAAAAAAAAAAAAAAAAAAAACTAAGCTTTTATTCTTTGTGTTGCACACTACAATAGGAAAAATTACAGTGACTTTGCAGCATGGGTGCTGGGGAACGGTCCAGATTTCTACAGGAGATGAAGCCGGTCATGTAAGCGGAAAGCATTGGTCAGATACGCTGTCCAAGGCGCTGTGTCAAGAACGCGGCTGTGGGACTGAGATTCTAACACCCATAAGAAAGCTTGTCACAAGCAATGAAATTAAGTTCAAAAGTCTGTTTAAAATGAATAACAGCATCAATATGACACAGTATAGCATTATTAAAATGGAGACGAATCCAGAAGGAATCTGGATTCCTTCTGGAAGGAATCCAGAATCCAGAAGAAATCCTGAAACCAGGGATCCTGCCTATGTTGTTTGCAAAGGTATTGGCTTTTTTTTATTTTTTTGTAAAGTATATATAGACATTGTATTACTATGTTAAAACTTTTGTATTATTTTTTGTTTTAGAAAAATTGAAACAAAAATGCCCGTTTTTCTTTCAGGCAGCGTTAAGGCAAGATTTAATGATCATGATAATGAGCGTCACAAATGTTCTGGAAACGTTGAGGTTGAGGTTGAAGGCCAGTGGTTACCAGTAAGCAAAGCGACTCTCAACAACAGGGAAACTCAAAAAACCATCTGTGCAGAGCTGAAATGCGGCGACGGTCTGGACACAAAGGCCTACTTTGGGCCCAGACCAAATGTAAATCATGTCGTCACAGTAGAGGGATGTTCACAAAACACAACAGCCAAATGTAAAGTTATCAATGCCAACAAGTTTGAAAGCACCAGCCAGACATCAGAGCTAGGAGGCCTCCGCTGCTCCAGTTAGTGTGATTCTTATTTGTTTCAAAACATTTCTATTTAAAGTTTTTTTTAGTCACGCTCTCATATGACTCCTGCCGTTTGTCTTAGACTGGAAGACTTTGGCACTGGAAGACTTTGGCACTGAGGACGTGTGTAAAGGAGACCTGGTCATTTACTCCAACAAAGAATCTGAGCTCCAAAGACAATTTGTCTCCGGACAAAATTTGACACAAGACGAAGGGCAAAAGCTATGTGAGGCTATGAAGTGCGGGAAGTACATAAAATATACAAACTCAACTGAACTCAGGGGTGACAATTGGTATGAAGGAAGTTTTAAATGCAAAAATATCTGGGATTGTGAGTCACAGAAACAGCAACGAGACCAGAACGAAACCAAAAAACTCTTCATTGAATGCGACGGTAAGATTTGTTTTGTGGTGGATTATTCTGTAATAATTGCAGCCTCACTGACAGAAATGTAGCTATGATGGAAACAGAGGCTACAAATAATTTGATGCTACAGCAAACTTGTTTACTGCAGATTTTTCCTGAAAATAAAATGTAGTTGGTGAAAAACAAAAATGTTATTTTTAGGAAAAACCTGCAGTCAAATTTTAATGTCCCTATTGAAACTACAGTTCCCCTTCAGTTCAGTGTAAACTTCATTTGTAATACTTCCTTTGCTTCTAAGAAGTAAATGGCTAATGGTTATTTGGCTTAGTTAGATATTTTTTCTACCTTTACTTGTTTGTCGATATTTAATATTTCTGATCAAGCAAATTTTAAAAATTAGGCCAAAATAACCTAAGTTATTACAAAGGGTATTTTTCAAAGGATGGTTTTTACTTATTAATCTTTTAGATCTGGGTGTTCAGTTGACACTGTTGATGCTTTCCTGTCTGCTCTTCAATATCAGTCTGACTTATTTTTGCTTTTGCTTACAGCTAAACCAAAAGTGAACCTTTCAGCGAATGGAGAGCTGACAATAGAGAATGTTCCGGTCTGCAACAGTCACTGGGAGGAGGATTATTCACACATGGTTTGCCAACAGCTGGGAAAAGGCAATGCCATTCCTAGTCTGAGCAAAAAGGAACGTAAAACTCTTGAGCTTTCCTACCATGTCCACTGTGATAAGCACAATTACCTCATTGGTCAGTGCCAACGAACCAAAGGGAAGTGCACCGAAGGGTCCGTATCTATCTACTGCAGCCGTAAGTGTTCATCCACCCAATTTATTTATTAACTTTTCCTCTCTGAGAATTTACTTCTATACTTAATGACATGTGAAGTACTTGCTTTGTGTTCTTAATCCACTGGAAAAGTCCATTTTAAATGACTTACAGCAAAACCTGAGAAGATATTTATTCGTTATTCATTGTAATATTTATGTACTAACACATTCAGCTGAGATTATCTGATGGACCAGATTATTTTTGCCACATTCTGCACAATCGCATGTCATGCTTTTTTTTTTTTTACATTTTTTGCTAGACAGAACTCAAGACTTTCTGTCATGTCTAATGCAACATGACATTAGACGCTGTTTAAATTTTTTCTTGTTTTTGACTTTATGTGTTTTTGAATTGCAGGTGACGTGGAGTTTAAAACAACAGAAACATGTGGTGGTGTGCTACGTATCAAATATCAGAAAACCCCAGAAGAAAGTGTGAACGTGTGCCCCTCCAACATTCCAGACCATTTATCAAATAAGTTGTGCAACAAATTAAATTGTAGAGGTTTTGATCCAAAGAAAAACAGCAGAAAGAAGGTAAATCTTTTCATTTCAAAGTGTTTATCTTATTAAGATTGGGAAAACTTTGTAAGTTTAAAACTATAATAATTGAAGTTTTATTTTTTAGACGACCAAAGGGGAACAAAGTCTGAACTGCAGCAGCTCCTACAAAGACCTGCGCTATTGTGTCTTAAAGGAGACCTGTGAATCTTCTTCCTTTTTCTGTGAAGGTAACTACAGCAGAGGACAAACATTAACTGGTCACTTTTAGCATTGCATTCCATTGATCACGTTTTCTCTCAGTTGTGTTGCACAGATGGAAGAAAGGAAATAACAGCTCATGGCCTTCTTTCTGATTTCTGTTTTTATCTCAGATTACCAGGAGCAAGCACCACCACCTCCCCCACCAGAACCAACAAATCCAATTCCAATTATTGTTGGCGTGCTCATTGTTCTTATCCTGGTTGCATTGATTGTGATATTTGTGCGATACCGCATTAAGAGGAGAAACAGGAAAGCCATGATGCCACGTAAGTACAACTGTGCTGCTCTGTCTGAGCCCAAGTCAGAGTTTGAACCATCGGAGAATAAAGTGTGCTGCAGTATGTTTCCTCTAGAGGGCAGTCTGTCTCCATGCTTCCTGAAATCGGAGCTCGGCGTTTTCTATGTCCAAGAAAACAATGCAGCGTTCTCACTGTTGTCAAATAAGCACAGTAAAGGTTTCTGTGGGTTACATTCACCATAAACCAACTCTACGTTAATAGAAACAGAGGCAGCCATCTGCTGTTAGAAACAAAAGTGCTCATTAAACAAGAGTGTCTGAAATGTCTTCTCATGAGTTCTCCTTCTATACAGGGAACTGCGAGTTGACATTGCAGATACAATTAAAATTAAAACCTGAAGAGAAGAAATATGGCATTTATTTAGTAACAACCGACCCTGGGCTGGTCAAAAACAACTGAGATGGCCTTTATTTTGAAAATCAAACATGTACTGGATGAAGTGAGAATTATTTAGCTTTTCTGTGAATCAGTCTCAGGGTTATGCTAAGAACAAGTCATAATTATCAGAACAGTTTTAACCTAATACGAGAATAAAGTCGTGAAAATATGAGATTAAATAAGATAATAAAGTCGTTTAGGGATAAAGTTTATTTCAAAAATATTATGGTTTTATTCTTGTATAATTAAGATTTTATTTTCCTAAGAATGTTTTCTTGTGGTATTATGATTTTATCATCAAATTACCATGACTTTAATTTCAAAAGATTTTGACATATTGTTGATAACTGCTATGCCTCTGTGTTGCGTGTTGTCAAGCTGCTACCTCAGCTCGTCCAGTCCCCGATGATTTGACTAGACTCCACAGTCCCTCTGCAGGATGTCACCTCGATGGTTTTCTGTCAGATTAAGGCCCAGGGCTTGTTGTGCTGAAACCAGCTGTGCTTGGAGTCATTAATTGTGTTTCCATCAACACTTTTTTTAATGCGCATTTTGAAATATTTCATTAGAAGCTGTTGATGGAAACAACAAACTTCCAACTAACTTTCTCAATCTCGTAAAAATGTTTGAGGTGGTTTCTGGCTTTTCTGAAAAAGTGCGCTAAAGTAGAAATGCACTTTTTCTACTTTAGCGCAAATACATCATTTGGCAAATACATTTGCCAAATAATTTCTGATGTAGTGAACGCTGCCCACCTACAGGCGGGACTGTGTCGCGAGACTCAGAAACATTTCATGGCCTAAGCAACCAGCCCCAGTTTTGAGTTATCCATTCTAGTTTGTGATGTCATTGATTACAGCCACTAAACAATAACATGCAAACTGACAAAGTTACTCATTAGTTGATTCGCTCCATATCAGTGGATGGGAATGCAGCTGACACGTTTTTCTTTTTTGCGACATTTTAAAGGTTCACTCAAAACTCACCTCAAAATTGGATGGAAATGTAACTTCTGCTGTAACTTTTACTTTTATTCTTCAGAATGAGGCAACATGCTTTTTCTGTAGCTTAAATTCAGTGCTTGTTGGTGTTAGATAAACTGTCTGAATCCAAAACAACAATTTTGCTTTCATCTTTTCAAAAATGATATCTAATGTCTGTTTGGGAGTTTTTGTATTTCTCAAAAACAATGTTTGGACCCTTCTTTTAAAGTTCAAATTGGTCTTTTAGTTTTGCCAACATTCTTTTTCTTTGGTGTGAGAGTTACAGGTCATAGGTCACAGGTCACATTCAGAGTCATTTTTCAACAGTGGAACTTAATGAAAGCAGGTTGCTGATGTTAGACTGTGATCATTTTGAACTCGGGTGTAAATTTGAGTCTTCTGACAGGCATTTTCATTTATGTTTTTGTTTTTAACGTTTTAAAATCCATCAGTACATTTCTAATTTGTTTCTGAAGCAGCAGATATGGAAGAAGCGGACTGGGATAGTGGAGAGTACGAAGACGTCGACAAATCAGATGAAATGGGAAGCTTTAACCGTAAGTACAACTAAACAGTTCATTCCAACAAATTTTAATGAATTAATTTTTTTATTTTAACACAAAGATAAATAGCTCATGAATGGCCACTAATATTCAACGGCCAGACATTTTGCTTCCTCTGAGTTCTGAGGTTTTCATGTAGGATTCAGATCCGACTCAGACGTGGAGAGGGAGAGAGATGTGGAGAGCAACAGGTCCTATAACTATGACGATGTGGACGAGTTGACCGAGGCTCAGCCTCTCACATCTCAGGGCTCCACGGTCCGAGCCGCTGAAGACCAACATTGTGATGGGGTTGATAAGCCAAGCGATGGAAAGTTTTCATCCAGTTTCAATCATGATTTCAATATTCTGGGTTCACCTGGCTGACTGCTGGCTGTTTGTCTTTGAACAGACGGCGTGACCTACGAAGTGGAAGACTCACAGGAAAACTACGACGACATCGATGCCAGCCCTGAGAACGCCAAAACCACAGCTGAAGTCCATGATGGGCCCCAGTCAGCGCCTGATGCCGATGAAGAGGGACCTGAAGACCAGTTCCAGAAAAATGAAGAGTTCCTGGTGCCGGGTCAGGACGGGTGAGCCTGAACTGGGTCAAAATGCAAATCAAGCAGAATTCTGGTCAAAGACAAAATGGATGATCCCAAAACCTGTCTTCAGTTTAACATGAAAACTAATAATAATGCAGAAAGTGAATGTTGTAAAGTGAATGCATTTTTTGGGAAGAATTATCGACAAACTGAAACTTTTGTATCTTCAAATCATGTATAACATACCAGAAGATGCAAAACTGTTTAGTTTAGAGCTTTATTTACAATAAAGCATTAGAGCCAGGCTAAGATGTTTTTTAAAGTTAATATAAAGTATCAAGTCATGTTATTACCAGAATAAAGTCATTACAGTTGAAGAATGAAGAGGTAATTTTTTTGAGAACTTATACACCAAAAACAATAAGTTAAAAGGAGAAATGTTTGCACATTTTGTGCTTATTTGGTTTTACAAATAAGAAAATATTTCATTGTTTTGCGCATTAACGCTCACATGACTAGCTAACTGCATCATAACTCATTAAACATTTATCTTATAATGAATTCACTCTCATAACAATTGTGACCTTATTTTCAAGTTATTATGACTTTATTCTGGTAATTAAAAAATACATTGTCTGACACATTAGACTCTCTCTTACTTATTTAATATTGCTGAAAGCAATATTAAAATGTAAAACAAACATAATAAAAATTACATAAATAGAAAACAACAATATAGAACATAATACACAATAACAGTAAATACATTGATTTAATTTTATTGTGCATTTGCATGAGTTACATCTATTACCCCACAACATATTTATCTTTTGTTAAAATTAGTTCTTGTGCGATTTTTACTCAACTACATAAACTTACTGTAATAAATGCTAGGATATTTTTAAAAATATGCTTCTGAAATATTAGATTACTTATTATTTATTCTGGTTTTGATCACTTCTGTCATTTTGTCATGGTATTTTCTCTGCTTCATCATACTGGCTGTGAAGAGTGAGAGGTAGACTGAGAACCTGTTTTTGCTCATTGATAAGCCCTTCCTGTTAGTTTGTTCCTGTTTTGGAGATTCGCTGCATTCAGTGAGATTAGACTGTAAAAAAGAAACAGCTAGCCAGTTAAACTAGTTCCTTCTCACTGTATGGGCAAGTGCTATATTTAAGCTAACTGCTTGGGGTGCAGGCTCCATATTCATTAGTTAGTTAGTTAATTAATTAGTTAGTTAGTTACAGTTGTATCTTGTACTTTAATGAAGTTATTAGAGCGGGTCATATTTTATTTAATTTCAACTGTAAATACAATGTAAAAAACCAGCAAATATATTATGTTCCCTTCGTCATTTTTTTTCCTATTTCAAAGATTACTTAGATTTTTCCAAGTTGTGTTTTAGATAAGCTTTTAATTACAGCTGTAGAATTTATGTTTGTTAAAAAAATTTAAACTCATTGCAAACTTTCATCTGTATTGTAGTCTTGCTATGTGTTTTTAACAAATGTTTTAGGCTGAATCCTTTTATTATATTCCTCTTATGCAATATATCCACTTCATATATTTTGTCTTTGTAGTAAGCAAACCGTTTGACTGATAAACTGAAATAAAAGTCATATTCAGCACGTCTCAGCTCTTGATATGGACAGTTTTGTGCTTAAACAGAAAACAGTGGTTTTCTGCGCTCTAATCTTCGGGACCAGGTGGAGATCCTCAGATTCTGCAGCTGTCTTTGGAAACAGCTTAGATGTTGAGTATCAAACTGTATGTTTAGTGAATCTTATATAGTTTGATACACAGCACAATAAGCTGCTTTATCCAACAAACATCTTTATTTTTGCTATTATTGTTTCATGGTGAGTACAACTCAAACTAAAGCTGTTTTCAATTGTTGTTTTTTTATAAATCACAATTTTGTTTTGTGTTGAACCTTAAAGGGGCAGTATTATGTAAAATCAACTTTTTTGAGCTTTAGATCATGTTATAATGTTATGTTCGATTCTTTCACACATATTTGGGAAATGGCAACTCTTCAGCTGACCGTGCGTCGCCTTCCAGATGCAGCTTCTCCTCAGAGCTGCAGGTTTCTCGTTTTTGAGTTTCCGCCTCACAGAGCCAGCAGTCCCCCATTCAGATCCTTCAGACTAGCCAGAAGCAATTAGCCAACCTCTCGGTGGAGAGGCAATGAAGGTCCTATGTCAGAAAGAGCAGGAGTTTTTAAAGTGATAGAGGCCCAATTTTGCAGCACTAATTTTCAAATCCAATTTCTCTTTGGTCATATTTGTTTAACATCTAAAGTTAACACAATTACTTGATTGTGCTACAAAATGATACTTTGTGCCTAGAAAACACATAATACTGCCCCTGTAACTTTTTCAATAACCATTCTCGCCAGAGTTACATGAGAGCAGTTGCAGTCTTCAAATGTTTCCATGAGTAACATCATCTGCCAGCCAGTAACAGATCTGCAGGAGTCTGATATGTTTAGCGAGAGCAGAGCCAAGCGCCTCTGAGATCACTGAGGCCCTGATATATCCACAGGGACTCATTTGTATCCACCGGCCCACAAGTGATGTGTCAACGTCACGCCGGAGGCTTAGCGGTGGATCATGATATAGAATTAACTCTGCATTGTGCCTGAAGCCTAAATAGACACGGTGAAGACGTTCCAATTTCTTAAAAGACACTGTTTTTCATTTTCTCCTTGCTAGGAATCAGGGATAAATAACAAAGTGAAAGGTCAAAAACCTCCTGCTTTTGTAGTTGAATAAGACAGGAACCAGAGCCAGCCCAAGGTATGAGTTAATGAAGCAGCTGCCCAGGATGTCCTCAGCTGAATGAGGCCCCAAAGAAAGAGACCTGAGTACAATCTGACAGCCTGAGGAGGATCCAAGACACTGGGCTGAAGGTGAGGACATCAGAGACTTGGAGCTCATCACCAAAAAGTAAATAATCAAAAGCAGGAAGACTCCTGCTGTAAATTATACTTTTGTACAAATGATACACAAATAGCGAGACCTGAGGAAAACATGGCATTTTCTGAAAAAAACAAAAAACAAAGAATAAACAAACAAAGCATGCTTTGTTCTTTTGAGATGAACTGTTAGCATTTTATTCGAACTTAAAAAATGACATAAATTGCAATAATATGTCAATAAACATGCCAGGTCTCTGAAAGCTGTAAAATGACTGGAGCAGCACCGGTTAACTTTAACCTTTGAAAAGGTCTTAACTCTCATGTTTTTCCCTCAACTATATTTTATCCAAAGATTTTATTTTCAATTATAATCACATAAATTCTGATTGAATTTGGTGAAATTTCTATTTCAAAAAACATTTAAATGCAACATTTGAATTGCTAATATAATATTTTATAAGCAGTTCAGTGCATTTTATATACAGATTTTTCCTTTCCAAATTGTCATGAAAAGAACAGTGCAAAAAATGTATCATTGTTTCAGAATTTTATCCATGGTGAACAGACAAGGTGCTGCTCTTGTCTTTATTTGCATAACGCTTTGGTTAAATGCCTAAAATGTTCCTGGACCTTACAAGTTGATTCGGTATTTTTCTTGGCAAAATAGCAAGTTTGCCTTTTGGTTGGTACATGTAAATAAAAGCCAGAAGATACCCATCGACACATTTTAAATATATTTTAGCCCCTTAACTGGTGGCGAAAAAAGGAGAATTTTCAAACAAACTAGATTTGTCCCATGGATGGGATACTGCAGTTAAATGGTTAGTACAAATCCAACAAGGTGCTTGTCAAGCACAAGCCAAAGCTGGATTTCTTTACAACCAAACATCCACTATGCTTAAAGTACATGCACTTAAACACCTTCTGTCATTTCTGCTCATACACATTAAACTGCTTATCTAGTGTGAAACATCAGAGCGACAAGTGAGAAGTTGAACTGATCTTTGCTTGGTGGGGGATCATGTGATGATGAGGTGCTGCGGTTATGATTTGTTTCCAGGAAATGTTACATATCTGCCACATCTGATGTTTATTATGATAAACAGGAAAGCCCAATCTTTAACACATCTGAAAAAAAAACAACAAAAAAAAAACAGAAAATGCTTGAAAAATGTAAAATGATGTGTAATGAGGTTATTTTCCAGTGGAGGTAATAAGGTTACAGTATAAATGTATATGTATCACATTTTTATGCATGTTGTTATGTGTAATGACATGTTGTAATCTTTTAATCCATGCTTGGTGTGTGAAGGTCAGCCCAGATCATCAGATCATCTGTGAGTCAACTGACCAGAGTTGCTTCACAGGTGAATTCATATTGGCTGTGTATGTGTGCGAATGGCAGGCCTGTATGCCAGAGGTCAGAGGTCAGCTGAAACGACTCTGGAACAGTAATGTCTTATATAATCATTTAAAGCATGTAGAGGACAAACAAACAGGTTCAGGCTCTTGGACAAATGAGCTTCTACCCAGCTGATGCAGGAGATCCATCAGTGGAGCGTCATCTGCAACAGGCGTCAGTGATGGAGGTGAAAGCGATCATTTCAAGTCTGGCTCTTGGGGTAACGAGTCCACATGAAAGTTACATAACATGATATGACAACCAGCATATGAGGAGCCCATTTCAGCAATAACAAATGTTTTTTTTTTTCTTTTTTAACAGCTTTCATAAGCTGATCTGATGATCAGTCTCTAATATTCATGTATATTTTTTTCATGTATACACAGAACATAAATGTGACAGCATATGTGACTAACAATAGGTAATTTTAAAATGATTATTCCCCTTATATTTTTAAGTTATGTTAACTCTAGTAAGTCATTTGTTTATGACTGGAAACAACACAAATTAAAATATTATCTCCATCCTGATATCAGATTTCACTTTGGACTCTGGCTGGCTGCTTGAATGCTTTAAGACAGGAAACATTGGTTACAAATATATTTTGTAATTTTTTTATTAAGTGCTCTGGCTTTGAATGCTTTACAAGTTAGAACATTAATAGCAGTAAAAAAAACAAAAACAAACAAAAAACATTACTATTACAAAAAAATAAAATACATGTAAGATAATTGTCTATCAATTCTGTCACTATGTGGTTTTTTCCCCCTTGTAAACTTGTGAATTTATCACAGCCATATAAATGTAATCACAAAGAGCTAAAAATATTTTTTAGGCAGAGGAGTAAATCAAACCATGATAGCATATTTATTTAGTTTTTATATAAATCTACAATTTCTATATATAGAAAGCCTATAAACAAAAGATAAGGCTTTTAAAGCTTCACCTACATGCCTCTAATACATTAAACCATTTCCCATTCATCCCCCCACAATAAGATGGCAAGCAAAACTTAATACACATATTTATGATTTTGCATCATATTATCTTTCCAGGTAACATTCTGTAACATTCACATAGTCATTGTCTTCATCTTCATCTTCTTCAAGGCTTCGTTCTGCTGCTTTGAGATCTTCCACACTGATAGTGACTTTTCCTAAGTTAATGTCTGCGTCTTCATAATCATGATCATCATCACTTATTGACTCTTCGTCCATCTCCAGTTTCTTTACTAAGTGAATTGCAGCAATATTTTCATAGTCATCCTGATCATTCTCATTGTCTTTTGTGTTTAACTGCTGGAAAGACACTGAAACAAAACAAAGGGAGGGGAAATATGAATAAACACAATGATAGATAGCAAGAATCTTAATTTAACGCATCTCTTATTGAATACATACTTTGGTTCTGGCCAGACGGTTTGGGCCGTTTAGAGCAAAGTTTCCTCCTGTAGCCCAGACAGACTGCTAGAGACACCAGCAGGACCAGCAGCAGGATTCCACTGGAGACTGAGGAAACCATCAGCAGTGAAGAGGCTGGGAGAGAAAACACTTGGTCAGTCGATGGTGTTAAGAATTAAAAAGATGAAGTACTTGATTTAACTCGTTAATTAATTCTTTGTCCCGAATTCCTGTGTCTGTGTAAGTGTGCAGAGAGAAAAGAGCAATCATATGATGTCAGACTTCAGATATTCAGAGTTTTATCCAGAGAAAATCAATGCAAGAAGAATGTTACAATAATCATCTCACCTAGATCATCAAAAGTCCAAGACATTACAAAACAGAGACAAAGAACTGAGTAAAAAAAAGACAAAAGAATAACAGAAGATGCATCCTCCGGGAAACTCTCACTCAGCACAAAGAGATTCCAACTTCTGCTGTGAAACAAACCATTTTTTATAGACTGCATATTCTCCTCATTTAAATATATGCATTAGGAGGTGTGTTCTTTTCCTTTGTGTGGGCTGTCTTAATGTTAATTTTATTACCTCCTGCTAAAGAGCCCCAAAAGCAGATATACGGCAAACCCTTCTCGTACCAGCCGCTGTCCAGTTTGATATATGATTGCAGCTACAGCGCTATCTGTGCCTCAAAATGTTTCCACAAGAAAGTAGTTTGTATTTTTAACCAAGCTTGCACACAATGTAATGCTAAATAATGACTATAAGTTTGGATCTAATAAGTAACTAATTAAAAACATGCTTAAAGAAATATAGTTAATTCTAATATAGATAAAATTATTTATAAAAAGTTTTAAGATTCTAGTGAACTTTTGAACCATGCTCAGGAATTTGTTA